TCAAAATACTTGTGATGAGTAAAGGAAAAAAGTATACACTGTATAACATAAAAATTCTAAGAAATAAAAACTAACATGAAGCACATCCAGCCCCCAGATCTTCATTTCTAATGTCATTTTCAAGGAGTCAACTTCTTTGGAGATATGGCTGATTGTAAGAACAGGAAATATACAAGATGAGTCTGTGCATCTTGTGACACCAGAAACTAAGAAAGCACGCACAGGTGACGTGAACACACACACATGTACTAATGGGAGCATGCCGGGGTGCAGAAGCCAATTGAAAGAGGTTCCAATACCCAAAAATGAAACAAAACATCCCTAAGTCCATAATGACATAAATAAAAGACTGAATAAAATAGCAGATGTGGAAATAAGAAGTAAATCTTCTATACATGACTTCAAATAAATTACGCAGCTACTCCACTGGAAAGGTAAATTTAAGTCTCTAATCCACCACACTGTTTAAGTGCCTCAAAGTAACTTGTGAACAGCATAGCATGAAAACAGGAGAAAATGAATTAACTGTGAAGAAACCCGACAAACATTCCCTCAGCCAGGTGATCAAGGTCAACATCAACAGTCGTAAGTCACATGACAGTATGTGCCCTTGATATGATGTGATAAGTCCCGTTTCAACAGAGGAGCAGGCTGCAGTATGCCACAGCAGTATCCCTCAGGGTTGTCAAGGTCATCACATAGACAGTAAGTCTGAGAAACTGTCACAGCCACGAGGAGCCTAAGAGAACCTGACAACAATGAAATGTGCCCTGGACAGCATCTGCAAAGGAAAAAGAGTACTGGGCAAAAACTAAGGAAATCTGAATTTAACAATGTGTCTATATCATTAATAGTATATCAATGGTGACAAATGTGCCCTATTAACATAGGGGACGCTGTGCGCAAAGGACATATAAGCACTCTTGGTGTTATTGACTCAATTCTCTGTAAAACTAAAAGTGTTCTGAAATTATTTTTAATTTAAGGCAGATACACCTAAAAGCACATATGTGTGTGTAAAATTTAATATAATGTTTAATAAATAAGATAGGAATCTTTAAAAGAAATCTAACACATATGACAGAAAGAAGATGGGTGGTTGCCAGGGGAGCGGTGACGGTCGTGGGGAAAGGAGACCAGAGCAGTAGGAAAGGATCACAAGGCAAGCAACTCATCAGCTTTTGGAGGCAAAGAGTCTGTTTATCATTTTGTTTGTGATGCTGGTTAACATTTTTTGCATCAGAGGGTGCAAAAAATGTATACGTATTTTAAGAAAGAAAAAGCTGCATTAAAATGGTACTACTCAGTATGTACTGATAACGTCTGCTATCCTCTACACTAGGTGTCCTCAAAGTACAGCCCACAGGCCACATGCGGCCTGCCAAGGACATGTATCCAGCCTACCGAGTGTTTTTGCCCCTGCTGCCTGTCCTGCTTAGCAGCCGACTCGTCCCAGGGCCCGCAGTCCAGCCCTCCAACCGTCTGAGGGATAGTGAACTGGCCCCCTGCTTAACAAGTTTGAGGACCCTTGCTCTAGATGGTATCTTGTAATTGCAAAAGTCAAAAGCGACTTAAATATTACAATTTTACCAAAACTCTTTCCTTTCTTAAAATAAGTATACATTTTTGGTACTCTCTGTACATATGTCAAAATTTAACAAATTATACAGTTTAAATATATGCAGCTTATTGCATGACAATTATACCTTTTAATAAAGTAGTTTTTATAGCTTTTTTTTGCCTGGGGCTGGGTTTGAACCCACCACCTCTGGCATACAGAGCTGGCGCCCTACTGCTTGAGCCACAGGCACTGCCCTAATAAAGCAGCTTTTAAACTATAGAGGAAAATATTTTCCAAATTAAATATTCTTCTCCAAAAATCCAAATTTACCTGTGAATTCTATTTCATTCAAAGATTCACCCATTTAGTAAGCTGCTCATCACCCAGCATCAACTTTTATGGAATAATGGTGATTCAGGACAGGCTAAGCATGTTTTCCCATTTCAAGATTTTCAATATTACTCTGTAAGATTGTTTAGGTTGAATACCCTAAATAAACTGTCTAGATTAAGGGAATTTCACAGCCAACTAACATTAAGCCAAATACAGCTTGCCAGATTTACATGAGTCCCAATTTTATGGCAGCAACCTGCCAAGCAACTTCTGAGGCATCTGATATTTAAAATCACACTCCTAAGGTGGCTGGCATTTGATCTCTCGGGTTCTAATCTGGCTGTGCTACTACTTTATGATATTAGGTAATTCTGTGCCTGAGTTTTCCCAACTATTAAATTAGGATAACAATACCTATTTCATGGGACTGTTAATGGATCAAATAGGTTAACATCTGTAAAGGGCTTAAAAGCTACCTGACAACGCTGTCCAGATTCTACAAATTTGACAGATTCTATGGTATTAGCCATCAGGGAAATACAAATAAAAACTACAATGAGACGCCGCTTTCCATCCTAGAAGGAATATAATAAAAAATATAGATAATAACTGTTGCCAAAGATGTGGAGAGATGGGAAACCTCCTGCACTGCTTGTGGAAATGTAAAATGTATAATCACTTTGCAAAACAATCTGGAATTTCCTCAAAAGGTAAACCTAGAGTCGCCATATACACTGTATGACCCAGCAGTTCCATTCCTGGGTATATACTCAAGAGAAATGAAAATATATATTTGCACAAATCTTGCCCATGTACATTCATAGCAGCATTTTTCATAACAACTAAAAAGTACAAAAAACCCAAATGTCAAAAAACTGACAGATGGAAAAATAAAATGTACCTACCCATAAATACAATAAAATAGAATCAAATTATCCATACAATGATATATTATTGGCCAATAATAAGGAATAGAGCACCGGTACATGTGCCAGGTGGAGGAACCAGAAAACATTATGTTCTGTGGAAGAAGTCTGTCTGAAAAGACCACACATGGTGTGACTCCACAGACATCAGACACCCAGACAGGCAGACCCAGGAATAGGAGGTGGATTAATAGGGGAAATAGGAATAACTGATAAGATTTCTTCTCAGGGTTACAGAAATGTTCCAAAATTGATAGTGATAATGCTTGCACAACTATGAACATGCTAAAACCCATTGAATTTTACGTTCTAAATAAGTTTACTCTATATCAGAATTACATCTCAGCAAAGGGTAGTGATTTATTAAAATGGACTTAAAACAATCACCACACATCAGCTGACCTCCTGGCCTCCTCCACTTCCATTTCCACACTCTCCTCCTCTCTATAATACCTCCCCCTTGCAGTCCCCATATTATCAACGTGTCCTCCTATTAAGTGCCCTGTGAACAGACTATACCCCCTTGCCAGAATTCTTTTTACCCCTCCTCTACCTGCAATTAATGGCTGGAACAATCAACTCTAAACCCCAGTGTCTTAACATGATCAGAGTTTCTTTCACACTGGGGCAGTCCCTCCCAGATGATTCATGGGTCCAGGCTCCTTACCTCTAGCAGCTCCCCTTATCCTAGAGTCTGAGAGTCTTCCTCCGTGTCCTCTGTACCTATCAGAGACAAACTGTTGGGCATCACCACAGATAGGACCTCTAGGTCCTGCATGGAAATTTGTAAGTGATTAACTCCACTTTGAACAAGATACATTTAAGATGATGTCAAAATTCCCAGTGTTCTTGGGTTTAACTTTAGTTTATGACTCTGTATCTGAAATACATGTATAATTAAAGTATTCTCCTCTTTCTCTACTGTGCTTTCATGAACTTAGAAGTACACTGTTTCAAAAGCTCAAGGACAATTATTTTTAACAATGAGAATATTAAAAGGAGAAAATACTATACAACATTTGTACCGAGGAATTTATGATGTAGCCCAGGGTATAAGGGGGAAGGAAAAGAAATTGTCCTTAAAGAGCTGTATTTTAGGAATTGAAACTCATTCCTTAGGGCAAATCCAAGTACCTCACACAACCTTCAGATTTCCCATCCAGGGGCCTTGCACTTCCCAACGTCTCAGTCACGCTCAGGGCTGTCCAAGAGAAATGTGAAAGCACTCACTTTTACGGAACTCAGAGGGAGAGAGCACTTTTACAGTATTTAGAATGATCTTTCAAATGTTTATTATTCCAAAAGATAATGTAGCCAAACATCTTCTAAGTTAAATCTTTACAAAACTGAAATCCTAAAGAGATTTACACAAATTCCCCTTCTTATGGAATCTAATAGTTTGTCCAATTAGATTGGGAATAAGTTTTAATTTGTAGTACAAAATCTAACATGCCCAGGAGAGTTTATCCCAGAGCACCTGCTACTCAGAGCTCCATTCAGCTTAGCGGGATCCGGTCGGCAACCCGGGAGGGAGGGGCTGGGGGCGGGGCTCCCGAGAGGGAGGCGGTGTTGTTAGAAAGCGGTCTAGCCAGCCTACAGCTGTCACTAATCTGCTTAAGCCTTGCTGTATCTGAGTGTGCGAGGATTCTGGCGTGTGGGTAGCATTCTCGGTTCTCAAAGAGAACTAGCTTTACTTGGCAATTGCGTGGAATCTGCACCCAGAGGCGGCTCGTCCTCCAGGACTGCTGAGAACTGCGAAGCTGCCAAGATGAATGTTGCCTGCTGTAGGGAGCCGGCAGAAGCGCCACTCTTCCGGAGAATGAGCAGTACCGACTAGCCCCCTGGGTTTTAGGGAGAAAGGCAGTGGAGCGCAGTCAGGGACAGGGAGCTTCATGGCATGAACGGGTTTGAAGCCAAAGCAAAAGTCGGGAGATAGAGCCGCGCGTTGTTGAATTGCTCTCGCAGCCTCAGCCACTCCAGTGCCGAACTTGTGAGTACTCTGCGTCTCCTGTCCTCGGACAGAAGCCGGAGAACTCTCCTGAAGAACTCCCCAGTTGGGAGACGAGATCCCCACGACGACCTTCCCCTGCCCCCGCCCCCCCCCCACCTCGCTCGCTGCTGGGACGTAACGACCTCCACCCTTCCCCTAACAGGATGGAGGGCAAGGACAGGAGCTGACCAGCGCCGCCCAAGCACACCCCCGACTCAGGAGGTGGAGATCCCCAGGGTCCAGCCAAATCCAACATCCGTTTTCTCCTCCCTCTGGCCCTATAGACTTGACACCCCTCCTTTCTTTCTCCCTCCTCCCTAGGACGGGGGAGGAGAAAAGGGGAGTCCAGGTCGTCATGACTGAGCTGAAGGCAAAGGAACCCAGAGCTCCCCACGTGGCGGGCAGCGTGCCCTCCTCCGGCGAGGTCGGATCCCCCCTGGTGGGCCACCCGGACGCAGGCCCCTTCCAGGGGAGCCAGACCTCGGATGCCCTGCCAGTAGTCTCAGCAGTGTCCCTCTCCCTGGACGGGCTGGTCTTCTCTCGGCCCTGCCAGGGACAAGACTCCCCAAACGGAAAGACCCAGGACCACCAGCCGCTGTCGGACGTGGAGGGCTTATACTCTGGAGTTGAAACCACAAGGGGTGTAGGAGGCGGCAGTTCTAGACTTCCAGAGAAGGACAGGGGGCTGCTGGACAGTGTCTTGGACACTCTTCTGGAGCCCTCGGGTCCGGGGCAGAGCCACGCCAGCCCTCTCGCCTGTGAGGCCACCGGCTCTTGGTGCCTGTTTGGCCCCCACCTCCCCGAGAACCCTCGGGCTGTCCCTGTCACTCAGGGAGTGTCGGCTCCGCTCATGAACCGGCCAGGAGGGAAGGCTGGAGACGGCTCTGGGCGGCCGGCTGCCCATAAGGTGCCGCCCCGGGGCCTGTCACCGTCCGGGCAGCTGCTGCTCCCGACAGCAGGGAGCCCTCTTTGGCCCGGGGCCCCCGCGAAGCCGTCTCCACAGCCAGCTGTGCTGGACATGGTGGAGGAGGAGGAGGGCTCCGAGTCCGAGGACTCCGAGGGTCCGCTCCTCAAGGACAAACCTCGGGTGGCCGCAGGAGCATCAGCAGCCGCGGTCCCCGGCGCGGCCACAGGAAGCCTCGCCCTGGCCCCCAAGGAAGACTCCCGCTTCTCCGCATCCAGGGCCGCCCTGACGGAGCACGACGCCCCCGCGGCGCCGGGGCGCTCCCCGCTGGCCACCACGGTGATGGACTTCATCCACGTGCCCATCCTGCCTCTCAACCATGCCTTCCTGGCCGCGCGCACCCGGCAGCTGCTGGAGGGGGAGAGCTACGACGGCGGGGCCGCGGCCGCCGCTGCCTTCGCCCCACCTCGGGGCTCGCCCTCCGCCTCGTCCACCCCGGTCGCCGCCAGCGACTTCCCCGACTGCGCGTACCCGCCGGACGCGGAGCCCAAAGACGACACGTTCCCGCTCTACGGCGACTTCCAGCCCCCCACCCTGAAGATCAAGGAGGAGGAGGAAGGTGCGGAGGCCGCCGCGCGCTCCCCGCGCCCCTACCTGGTGGCCGGCGCCGGCGCCTCCGCCTTCCCGGACTTCCCGCTGCCGCCGCCGCCGCCCGCGCTGCCGCCGAGAGCGCCGCCCTCCAGGTCCGGGGACGCGGTGGCGGCCGCCCCCGCCGGTGCCTCGGTCTCCTCCGCGTCCCCGTCGGGCTCGGCCCTGGAGTGCATCCTGTACAAAGCCGAGGGCGCGCCGGCCCCGCAGGGCCCGTTCGCGCCGCAGCCCTGCAAGGCTCCGGGCGCCGGCTCCTGCCTGCTGGCGCGGGACGGCCTGGCCTCCACCTCGGCCTCCGCCGCGGGGGCGCCGCCCGCGCTCTACCCGCCCCTCGGCCTCAACGGGCTCCCGCAGCTCGGCTACCAGGCCGCCGTGCTCAAGGAGGGCCTGCAGCCGGTCTACCCGCCCTATCTCAACTACCTGAGGTGAGGCCGGCGGGACGCGCCCCGCCCGCTGCCCGGGCTCCCCAGGTGGCCGCGAGGGGGTGGGCAGCCGGGCAGGGCACCCGGACGGGTTGCCCCCTTTCTTCTTCCCTCTTTCAGGCTCACTCTCTGGGGGACTATCCGGGAGGTGCAGAATATGCCATTTTTGGAGCCTCCCTGAAAGCATTTTTAAAAACTTTCCGAATCTTGGAGATTCCGAAGCAGGACCAACGCTGGTATCAAATGTGCAGCGTCACGCTAGGTCCGCTGTAGCCCAGCGGAGTGGAAAGGGTGTGGCGAGTTGGGGGCTTTATCGAAGGCTGCTTTTCTTAGAAGGACTTTTACCAGGCACGGTTCCCACGGGAGGGGTGGGACTTGAGGAAAGGTGGCCAGCCAGAACCGATAGCAGAACCATCTGAAGGATTTGGACAATTAACTCGCTCGATTTGCATGCGAATTTTGAGATTAAAATTAATTTTAAGTGTGATATGTCTGAACTATGGATTTAAGCATTTAAATTACAGCACTGGGCCGTTTTCTAATACTGTTTGGGATTCGTTATAGCTTTTTCTCATACAAGTTTTTAAAACATTTTAATTCACATAGTGAAATAATGAATAAAAGAGAATGCTCTGTTTTGAGTCTTATAGATTGAATAGAGACAAGTGTCAGTATTGAAAAACACTTCAATATAACAAACACCTATACACCTTGTAATAACAATCATTACAGGGTTGTGTCTTAAAAACTCAAAACAAAAGCAGTGCTAAGTAAACTGAACTCTTAAACCCAAACCAGTACAGGAAGGGCATAACAGTTTGTCTGTTAAAACAAAAGGAATTCCTTCCGTATAAGAAATTCTATAGAAAGATTGCTTTTTAATAAATGGACTTTAGCTTTCCTGAACATAAAATTATACACTAGTTACTATTCTTTGATATTGATGCTACTGATAAATAGCTCCTAATTTGCAAGCCTGTGAATCCAGTTGCAGGTAGTCTATTACACTATATTCAAAGTTTGCATGTCTTTCAAGTGTGAGTATGTGCACTTCTGTTTTTAAAATCTCCTTTCACTGTGTTAATGGTAGTTTAAGAAACTTTTAGTATTAGATACTGGTGCACCAAAAAATAAATGGAGTAATTTGTTTTGCATTTCAAGGCCCGATTCAGAAGCCAGCCAGAGCCCACAGTACAGCTTCGAGTCCTTACCTCAGAAGATTTGTTTAATCTGTGGGGATGAAGCTTCAGGCTGTCATTATGGTGTCCTTACCTGTGGGAGCTGTAAGGTCTTCTTTAAAAGGGCAATGGAAGGTAGGCTTCTTTCCCCTAACACTTTATTATTAGTTTAATTATAAATGGAGATCATTGAATATTTTATAGATTTGAATTACCCCTTGCTTCTTCTAAGAAATGATATTTCCATATAACTTAAAATATATGATGACATTTTAACAATGTTGTTATTTATAATACTCAAAATTGAATGCGTGTAGATATTATAATTGCAAACTCTTTGGTTAATACTTTCAATATGAGATACAAGTCATGATAATCTTGAGGACAGTGGTATTGTTGTTCCTTAACTATTTAGCATTCAGGAAACAGCTATGTTCTAATTGTAATTTTTGATGTATCTGTTATATATAAAGCACTTTAATTTTTCATTAAAAGAAAAATGGTAAGAGTTGAAATTATAATGTAACATACATATAACACACTTGCATGTATGTTGCAGCCACAGGATCTCTGTGTGGTTTTGTCTGTTCCCTATATGCATGTTTATGTACTACTTATAGTGTGGTAATTCTAAACAATATTTTAAAATTCCTTTTTGCTCAGTTTTTGTACGTTTGTAAGAGAATAGGAGTAAACAGTTTAAAACAAATGAGTCATTTGGACATCATAGTAATATGATTTCTAAAGAAGTATTTTGGCCTAAGTAAAACTTTTGTGTTTTTAAAGCCATTTTAGATTGCTTATCTAATGATTTCAGATTGACTTGCCCAGGGTGTTCCAGACTTTGAATTTTTCTTTCCACCTGCATTAAACTCCAAGCAACCAAACACATTCATATCTGATGACCACAGTACATTGGAACATCATTTTACATTTTGATACTAGCAAAAATGTATTTCACGACAAGCTGAAATTGAGTTTAGGATTCTCCCTGGAGTGCTGAGTTCACACCTAGACAAGAAAACAAAGATCATATGGGCTTTTGTGTTTACTATTTCTGAGTTTCCTGACTTTAAGAGCCCTTTATAAGCAAGAAAGAAGAGAGCAGGAAATTTACGCTTTAAGGGGCTTTCAAAGGAGTGCTTCATAAAGGTATTTTCTTTGTATATTTTTAGAATATGATTTTTTCCACAAAAGAAGAATGTATTTAACTGATATTGTATGTATTCAGCTTTAAGGGAATTTAATTGCATTCTAATATAAATTAATTGAGCTACTGTTAAAAGGAAGTATTGAGAGAATGTGTCAACTGAGAATGGACTTCACTTATCCATTGATAAGTGAAGTTACTGTTATGATTGTAACTTAATCACAGTTACAGATGGAAGTTGAAGTTCCTTGTGTGTAAAAATCAGTTTTCCAGTGGGTAATTAGAGTTGCCATTTTTGTCTGACTCTGGTTCTGGTTTTCCAGACATCCCTTTTTGCATTAATATGATTTTTCTCCATTCTTAACAGCCTCCATGTAATTTATAAGTGAATGGCCTTCTTAGAATCCCCTGAAGGCTAATTTGTCCTAACCCAGCTGCTCCTTTTCATACATAAGCAGGTTCCAAAGACATAAATCAGTGTTTCCAAAGGTGCACAACTAGTTAGTAGCTGATTGTTAGTAAACATAGTTAGATATTTTTAGATCACAATGTTTATAAATCAGAGTATGAACAGATGTGTAATAAATGCTATTTAATTTTCAGAAGTTACTGCATAAAGTGCATATAAACAAGAAAGAGCATCCTAACTGTAAAATACAAATGCTTTCACATTATCATCAGAATAGCATCTAAAACCATAGAGGAAGTCTTTTCCGATTTACTCTTAAAGAGCATTTGTTGGATTCTACTGTTGGCATGGTCCTATAGATCTGAGAAGTAGAAGTGAAGACCTCTTATTCAGTAATATTTATAAAAACAAACTTGAGACAGATATTGATAAATCATTCATAAAATTAGGGCAAGATTATAAAGCTGAGTAATTTCATTTATTCCACAATTATTATATACCCCTTATATTTACATTTATGCCAAAGATGCTCTTTCCCTGACTTCACCTTTCTCTACCTTAATATAAAATAAGGATAAAAGCAGTAGCTACTTCTTAGAGTTGCTAGAAAGATTAATTCAGTTGATACATGAAAAGTATTTGAAAGAAGATCTGGCAGAGAGTCATCTTCCACTAGTTGTTGTTTAATATAGTTGGGGAGGTAACGTATATGCACATGAAAACAATTAAATAAAGAATCTGACTAAATAAGCCATTCTGTGATGGGTATAAGATTTCCATGGTTTGTGTGTTTGGACAGAGTCGAGGGGGTTGTGGACTGGAGCATATATGTTGTAGAATGTGGGGGAGGCATCCTGGAAGATAGGAACCTCATTTGGTTATTAAAAGAAAAATAAGATCTCTAGGCATTGAGGAGAGTTTTAAGAGTATATAGTCAAAGAAGAGTGAAGAAATTAAGATTATACTGACTAAGAGTTTAATATTTATATTAGGAAGTTGTGAGAATTAAAGAAGTTAGGCTTCTAATGTTTGGATGAATTAGGAGAGAATTGATGGTAAGGCAAGAGAATAGAAGTTCTGGGAGTTTTCAGGTATGAGAAAAATAAGTAGAAAGACTCAATACCAGGTCTGAAATCTTAGCATAAAGCAATGTGGTGTGAGGTGAGCTGGTTCAAGACAGAGCTATATGTGATGCCAATGTGGCCAGTAGTTGAAAAGTAGGTAATTATGTGGATATTAATATAGTGACCGAGGATTCTGATGATGACAAGACAGTATGAAGTGCGTTCTGTGTGGCAGTTACTACTTAAGTGTTTTACGGTCTCAATTGATTTAGTTCCAACAATGCAGGTGTTATTATTACTCCCATTTTACAGATGAAGAAACTAAGGCCCAGAGGTGTCAAGCTGCCTTATTTACAGATAGGAAAGTGGAGAGTCAGGATTCCAACCCAGGAGTGCGACTCCACAGAGCCCCTGCTCTACGCCACTGTGTTTCCTTTCTCATAGTAGGAAATGTGGGCAAAGAACCACCACAGTCATTTGGGAGAGAAACGTGGACCACGTGGTGAAACATCTGGGAAAGTCAGAGTGAACCCCGAAGGAGAGAGCAAGACCCAGGGTGATCAGAGACACGTGATCTAAACGGATGGATCACACTAACTTCTCACTTAGGACACGGATGAGAAGACAAAATTAGGAGCCAGGAACCAGTTTCCCCACCTCTTCCAAGTTAGGAGTGGGTGTTCACAAATCCTATGAAATCATCCATGAAAATTGGATTCCCCTGATATGAGACAAGAGATAAGAGGTAGAGAAAAGAAGGTACCACTCAGGAAATGGTGATGTAAGGGTGGGAGAATTTAAAGCTATTTAAATTAGCCATTTAAAGCTAATTGAACGTCTTAAGATAAGGTTAAGAAGAAAACAGTTAGTTTAATAGCCTATTGAATTCCTTTACCAAGACTTGTAGGATTGAAATGAACTAGGATGTGGTCAGAAATTGCCTTTATGCCTTTGCAGGAGATCAAGTAATAATGACTTGATAGTCATAAAAGTGCAGGCTAGTGACCCAGCATGGGAAAGGAAATGACCATTTCTCACTGGCTTATTTTGGTATACACCATGTCTAGCTGGTGCTAGGAATAAACTAGGCATTCCATAAATATTTGCTACATGAACCAATAATAATAATTGGTAATATGTGCCCTTACTCTTTGGATGCTTTGCTATGTGGCAGCATCTGTCATGAATACTCTTGATGTCATATGGCTGAACAAATGTTATAATGCACCTAAAATGTATACCAGTTGAAGTAGGCCATGATGGATTCCTATTGTATGGCAATAATATCTTTAGCCTTTTATTCATGTATTAATCATTAATAAATTAGTCTCATTAGTTTATGTATTAATTTATTGAGCATCTGTTGTGAGCCTGGCACTATGCTAGGTGCTGGTAAAACAGCACTAAGGCAAAAAAGACCTGGTTGGCCACCCCCTAGCCCAGTTTACAGTACAGTGGCAGAGAGGGACGTTTTGCCAGTTCACATGCACATAACTCCTCACAGATGTTGTAAGTTACTAGCTTATGCACTACTTGGACAACTGGAGAGATGACCCTCTATCAGAAGCAGCGGGTAATAGGGAAAGTGTTTCAGAATTAGACGTCATCATACATCAACTACAGAGGAAACCAGACAGAAATGAAATATTTTTGTAAGTAAAGGGTCAAAAGTCGAGTATAATTGGTGTCCTAGGCTAATAAGATAACTGATTTGGTGCATAGTTCTCCTGGATAAGACCTCAGAAAGAGAAATATCAAACATTCAAAGGATAAGTAACAACTTCTGTGAATTGTTTGTCCTGTCTTTAGAGCTCTGTAATACTTTCTCCATCTTTTGGTTATCCAGCAGTTCCTTCCACTATAATTTATTTAATGTCTGGGCTCTAAGGAGATATTTTGCAAGTAACGTTATTTAATTCAATGTACTCTCCAATAGCATCTACCCTATAGCAGTCTTCACATTACCCTAGACATAATTATATGGGAACTCACTGGACTTCATTTCAAACTCCATATTCAATTCCTTTTCAATTTGTAGATCTCTCAGTTTGATATTTATCATGAATAATAAAGCTGGGTTTAAGCACAATTTTGCATTATGACTCATTGAAAGCCTTGACTATATGGAAAAAGAACTGTTTAAAAAGATAGCATTTGTCATAATCTGCTCCATATTTGTTTATGTAGCATTCCCAGTTTATTGATGCTCTTTCAGAGCTTGCACTTTAATACCACTGCAGAACCAGAAGAGAAGCAGTGGTATCCGATGGACCTGCTCATGCTACCAGCTGTGCCAGTGAGTCATGAATTTCTCAAGTAACACAATGATACATTCTCCTTTAAAAAATTAAAATACCACCCTTAAGGCTGAAGTCCTCTCTAATACCTACCTCTAATCTGCTGCCTTCCCTACCATTCCTTTATTTATCTCAGTTTTTTATGTACATATATGTATGTGTGTAATAATGGTCTTTGGGGTGTGTTAATATATAAATGGTATCACATATCATAT